TGCAATCAATGATAATATTTACACTGGAATGAATACGTAATTATGAAGTATTTAGTTATAGCCTCTCTTTTTTCATAACACATTTTCCAAATGATTTGTGACCTAATTTTTTAAGAGTTTGTGTAACTTCATCGTTTATAAGTTGAAACTATTTTCTCAATGAGGGGCTAACTTCATGCGTGTCCCACCCACCACATTAATCAAATTGATCACAGCTTGATTATATTATACCAATCTAGATTAGGTATATTAATCCAATAGAGTATGGTTGGTAATGGGTTGGTAGGGAGCACATTTTTTAGTCGACGGCTTTTAGGGAAACCCAGACAATTATGTTAAGGCCTTAAAATGTATTATAATAAATTATAAATTATTTAAATTATTTATAACTATACTATAATTATTGACTCAGTATTTCATAATTTATTGTTGGCTATTGTGTTAATTTAATGTAGGAAAATTATGCCACATAGTTATTTCTGTCTTCTGATCGTCTGTGGCGGCAGAAAAACACGACAGCTTATAATATAGTAAATAATAATAGTATTATTGTTATACAATTTTTATTATGGCGTATTTCTGAGTATTCTGTTTTAGAATACGACTATACGATTAATCCATTTACCAAAATAATATATAATATATAAATATAGGTAATAATTATTATATTGCGTGTAATAATAATATATTATGCGTGTAATAATATTTATATACCCTGTGAAATTACCTATGCAAACATACGGGTGCCCGCAGACGAAGACTACTGCACCAGTGCAGCTAGACCTACTTACATAATAATATATTATTATATTATAAAATATTAATTATAATAATATAATATATTAGGCACCATTAATCATTATTAATGTCAATTGTATTACTGCAGAACTCAGAAAGTATACATAATAATATAAATATCTATATAGGTAGGTTCTTTCGAAATAATATTTTAGAATCCAGTAAAAAACTAAGTAAAACTAAGTAAAAAAAAAGAAGGCATAGCACATGACCTAGGCTACAGGTCTAATAAATGGACCAAATTAATAATTTTTAATGATATTATTATAAACGCGCCATGGAAACGGCAATATAAATATTATAAACTATTAAAATAAATAATAATATATAATATTTATATGATAATTTATAAAAACTAATAATATACCAACAAAAATACTATGTCAACTCCATGTAAAAAAAATGTAATTTAATTTAATTCTTCGTTTTGCGCACGGAGTAAACAATTACCCCATATTTTATTATACATTATTTTCTACCATATGCATTATAAATTATATTATTCATAGCTTTTAAACAGAAATTCAATTATATTCTATAGGTTTATTTTAAATGCGTAGAACTTTTTAAATGTTAGATATTAATGTTATAATTTTTCGACTTCCGTCGGATATCATGTTATTTCTTAAGATTTCGTCTTAAGTTTCAAAAAACGGTATTATTTTTTCCGATTTCGATTTCGGTTTCAGATATCGGTATTTATGTTTTCCAATTTCGGTTTCGGTTTTGGATATCGGTATTTATGTTTTCCGATTTCGGTTTCGGTTTCGGATACCGGTATTTATTTTTTCCGATTTCGGTTTCGGTTTCGGAAACCGGTATTGATTTTTTCCGTTTTCGGTTTCGGTTTCAGATACCGGTATCGATTTTTTCCGATTTCGGTTTCGGTTTTGGATACCGGTATTATTTTTTTCCGATTTCGGTTTCGGTTTCGATTTCGGTTTCGGTTTTTAACGGTTTAAACCGGTATTCAAAACCGGTATCGAAAATCGGTTTCAAGCCCTGAATGAAACTATAAAATACTATACCTAATAATATGTTATGGCTATGTATAATATAAACTTTGCCCCCCCCCCCGGTGAAAATTTCTGCGGGCGCCCTTGTTTGGTTTTCAATATTCAAAATAAGTGGGTAGTCTATATTTGGTTGCATAATGTTAACAATGATAATATTATTTTATAACTATAATACATAAACTATATGAATTTAATATTATGGGTTTTGGAGACATAATAATGACCGTGTACATATGAAATAATTCACTAATCTGTAGTAAAAAAAAATTAAACAAAAAGGGTTTTCACTGAACACTAAATTATTATCATTGGATCAATATACTTAACGGGTAAAATATTGAATACGACTAAAACAGAATAATATATTAATCAGCTTAATAATTATTATAGCCAAAAGTGATGGCATAACATAATTTTTTTTCTGTTGTACTCGTAAATACGTTTTCTCGCCGTCCATCCATATAGGTATTTATTTCATTAAATAATATCTTAACATTAAATGCATTCGGCCATAAAACATAATAATATATTATTATGACTCGGTAGGTTGAAAAATTATATTATCTTTGTACTGTTATGGAATTTTTTTTCTCTCCATGCGAGGGGGGGGGGGGTGCAAACGTATTATCCACGTGCATCTGTGCGTATGATTACACCAATGAGCTCGAGTCTCTCTAATTGACGACGTTTTTACATTAAACGCCAAGCAGCGCGTTATACACCCCGTGACCTAACTTTTTATATTTTGTCGGGAATGAGGAATCAGAGATACCGTCAAGTTAATTATAAACATTGAGTCGTTTTCCGGGACTACGTCTAATATTTGAATAAATGACGACGACGACGTGTAAATATAATTTAATTATTATTCTTGGCGGGTGTTGAGGGGAGGGAAAAAATGCTGTGTACATTTCAAGAGTTTCCATCACCTTCTAACCCACGGACGGGTGTTTTTCTTACCTGTTATACTATTGTTATTAATATTATAATTAAGGGCTACAAAAGCGGAAACTACCTCAAAATATAATAACGTGGGCGTTATAAAGTTAATTAAAAAATAACAATAATTATAGTAAACATACAACATCTATTGCGGTTTATTTGGAATTTAGCGCGTCGGGGTTAGTCGGGAAAATGAACAATATCATAAAATATAGTGGCAATATTATTACTATAATATGGAAAAGCAGGGAAACACAACGTTCTTTGAATCTCTGTCGTCGAGCGCCCGAGTGTTAACCCAACGCATTACGGACGTGTGTGTATAATGCACATATACAATACGATTATCCAGTTTGTGTGTGTGTGTGTGTGTGTGTGTGTGTGCGGGTGGGTAGGTGGGTGTGCTTGTGTGTAACTCGATTATACACGGTATAAAACCATAATCGTGATGTAGTATATTATAATATACGAGTAGAAGAAAACGCAGTAATATGATCCGCTCGAGAAAAATACTATGACTATATTATTATTATTATTATTATGGAAGGTGCAGCTGATGTCTGAGTGAGGAGAAGAAAGAAAAAAAAACGCAAAACGACTCACCGCTCGATACGACCGTTTTGCTATTATTTGTCTCCTCTGGACCGGATGAGATGACTCTGCGGGCTACAATACCAATAAAATACAACATTGACGTCGGCAGTGTCTATAATATACGCAATTATAATATTATTAGTACGTACCCAGACGTCGCGTTATTATAATGGGACGACGGCGGCGGAAATCTTCCGCAGAAGGTTTATTGTATTGTTTTCGGAGCTTTTAATGCGACACTCTTTGATTGTACGATTTGCTTCGGTTTTTTTTTTTTATTATTATTATTATTCTTCTGAAGTGTTTCTCTAACCACTATTTATTTCCTCGGGCTTTACCGTCTCCGCCACCACCTCCGCGCACCGAGATCTGCGCTACGACGAATGCATTATTCAGTACGTGTCTTTGTTCTTATTAGAGTAAAAGCTGCGGCAGCGGGACTTTACACACACACATATATATATATTATATTCATATATACGTATACTTGACGTGAGTATGCACTTTGAACAAATAACTCGGCGAGAGCAAACAGCGGCTAGGTATTCTGCTCGGTTGACTTTGCGGGTTTTTTTTTTAATGTTCGAGATCAGACGCCAACCCAGCGAAATTCGTGTACATATACCCCATACACGGGAGTGATCGGGATTTCGTGAATGGGATCGTAATCGTATAATGCCAAGGCCACCATTTTGTAACCCACATTTCTGTTCAACTTGTCTAATTTAATACTGGGCAGGTACTGAATGTTAACCCGACTATCGTCTGCAGTATATCATGCACGTATGGTAACTCTACATACGTTGACGTTATACATTAAATAGTATATAATATAAATAATAATACATAATTTGTAATATTACAGGCTACAGTGGAAATCGCACGATTTAGCATGACGTAAAACAATTATATTAGTATACGATATAACAATATTATTATAAATCTTTATATTAAATCCACCTACATCGGAATGGATGTACAATAAAATATTGACGTATGTGCAGTCTCGAAGACCCCAGTGTTGCACCGGCGAGTTCCGAATTTTCTCAAATCCTTGTCACACCCAAGTTCAATATAATAACCATGGGAATAAAGTATAATACGGTAAAACTTCGATTATCTGTCATCCGAACATCCGTCAACTCTTAGTCGCCCGTCGTCATGGCGTTTTCGTGTACTTCGACATAAATATATTTTTTTGGGCTGGATACGTGATAAAATGTTTCTGACCGATTTTTGGTAAGGTTTTCGTCGTCGTGGTTACTTATTAACAAAAAAATATATTTTGTGACTCATAGGTTTTCCTTATAGAGGAAAAATATTGAGTGTCGTGGTATGTTTTAAAATATATCAATTGATGATTTAAATATTATTAACTATTGGCTGTATATAATATAATACGGTATTAGCTTGTCATCGCATTATTATCTTCAATTATTTATATTCTACTATACCTTTTTTTTTTTTTTTTTTTTTTAATTTATAAACAGGAACGGGTGGGAACTGTTTAGCACAATACTGCCACCCGAGCCCGTATCGTTTATTCACCGTCACTACAAAATACAACTATAATATAAACTATAAAGTACATACGTGGGGGCCTCTAACCACCCTAGGTATTTGGCCTTCGGCCCACAAACTCAGTCACCATTAAAATAATCGCGCCTGCCTAACCCGCTCTGCATCCTCCTTCCGCCCGAGAATCGCCTCCACCATTCTGCCAAACGCCAACCTCAGTCCCTCCGCCATCGCCTCAATACGCCGCCTCCTGGATGCAGCATCTGGGAGGAGCTCCTGTTCCGGTCCCAGGATGATATCCGGCACATCATTGGGTTGTAGTGGCCGGCCGACGCATTGCTCCATCTCCCGTCTGTCTTCTGCCCAGAACGGACAGTTAAACAATGTGTGCTCCGCAGTGTCGTCCGGCTCATCACAGTGCATGCAGTGGGGGTCATCTGCTCTCCTCCTCTTCCACAGGTAGTGCTGGAAGCATCCATGACCCGTCAAAGCCTGAGCCATGTGGAAAGTCATGGCTTCGTGATTTGACTGATGCACCCACCTCCTGATGTCTGGAATCATCCTCCTCGTCCAAGCCGCCTTCGTCGTGTGATCCCAGATTACCTGCCATTCGCGCAGCGTTACCTCGCGCTCCTACCTTCTTATAACCGCCACAGTCGTGGGCTCCCGCTTTCGCTCCTCGATTCTGCGTCGCTCATCGGCCAGCAGGTGGGCTGGAGGTATTCTAGCCAAAACCAGAGCTGCCATATCAGACACGGTCCTGTAGCACCTCGCAATCCGAATAGCGGCACCTCTCTGCGCCTGACTGAGGGCTACCCTATTCCGAGCTGCCCTCACCGCCGCCAGAGCCCAGACCGGTGAAGCGTACAGCAGCTTGCTGTGTGCCACCGACATAAGCAGCCGCCTCTTACAAGCCGAAGGCCCCTGCACGTTCGGCATCAGCCTTCCAAGAGCGGACACCGCTCGCCTGGCCGCTGCCGTCACTAGCCTGATATGGGCACCGAAGTTAAGCCTCTTGTCCAACTGAACACCGAGGTACCTCATTGAGGGCTCCACTGGAATCTGCTGCCCACCTAAGGTGAACACAGGATCCCGATAGGCCCATTTGTTGGTTAGGACAACCGCTTCCGACATTCTACTATACCTGCGTGTAGTTACTATACGTGTCGTAACATTATCTCTGCAGTGTATTATGCACATATTTTATACAGTCACTGTAGTCAGTACCTATACCCATCTTTGTGAGTACCTATGTTGTTATGCCATGTGATGTGTTTTTTGAAAATGTCTGCATAAAAAGAACGCGTGCCTATCTATTGAGTTGGAAAAAAGTCGGAGGTTCAAACAGGCCCGTTTCCATGGAACCAAACAGCATTCCGAACATTGTTTGGCAATATACTATTTGGAACAAATGTTATCGTTGAAACAATTTCGTTCATGTTCAGAAAAGTTTGCCGAAAATGTCAAGGAACAAATTTTGTTTGGGGCCGATTCCAATAAAACATGTTCAAAATTTTGTTTCGGATAAAGTATATAATGTAAACGACGCGTTGTGTCGGCAACTTTGTTCGACGAACAAGTGCGTATGCAAATACGAACATAGTTTTGAACATGCTTACATAATATCATGTTGGCTTGTATGTATGAAAACAAACTTCCGACTTACAGAAAAAAATATTATAATAAGTACAAATTTGTGAACGATAAAATCGTTTACTTGAATAGTATTAAAATAATTATAGTCAAATTGCATAGGTGGAATGGTCCAATCGACAAAATATTTATCATACGATACAGTGGAAAAAATTGTAAGTCTTTAGATACCTACGAGTGTAATATGACACCTTTCACTAACTATTCGAAAACAAATTGCGTACCTACCACCTACCTATGGAAATACTATTATAATAATATATTCTGATTTGAATGAAATAATGAAGAAAACTCTTGTCACAACCTCGGAGCTATTTGATCTTATAATAATAATAATAATACAAGATTGCCTTTGTAATTTTTTTTTTTTTTAACGACCACCGTGAAATTATCCGGGGACGATGTTGTTTATTTTGTAAATTCATTGCGGACAAAAAAGTAATACGAAACTCGTATATTATTATAATATTACGTAGGTAGGTACGTGAAAATAAACATTTTATATTTACCGTGCTCGGGAGGGTCATTGGAAATTTACTCTGAGAGAATACCGGTTTGCATAACATTATACGAACGCGTATTATAATATACGCGAATGAGTTTCGGTAAATTGTTTATAAGATCTGAACTACCCACGTCGTTGTACTATATATTATAATATTATATAGTTATACATGTTTAATACAATACGTGGCTCAGTGAAGCATCCAACCCTTGACTAATGTCATAGTATTTATTTTTATATTTATAAAGATTCCCTGACATTGTCATCAAAACTTATCGGTACATTGTATAATATTATTAAATAATTGTTGGTTACACAATAAAATGAAGGTATATAAACACTCGGAAAAAGAACAGAAATACAGTAATTAAATTTATTTTTTGGACCACTACCGTCATGAGTAAATTTGGTTGCATCATCACTTCCGCGGCTGATGTAGCCGACGTATACTTGCACAGTTTACACCAACAAAACAAATTTGTGAGTGTTTGTTTGTGTGTGGGTTTGTATACACCGAGGACAAACGACAAGATCAGATAAAAGTTATAGACCAGTGGTTCAACTGGGTACGGACCACTTTGTATATTTTTCACCGTCACGGACCATGACCTGATTTCAATCCCTTCCCTCTCTTTATATAACTTATTTTTTTTATTCTTTTATATTTCATAGTTTATATTTACAAAATAAAATCAGGAATACAGTTTATGTTGTGGAAAAATATTTTAAGTTATTTATTTAAACATTTAATTTAATAAAAAAATTTGATAGAAATTCAAATGTTAAATTTAAATGTCTTCATTCTCGGACCACCAGTTGGGAACCACTGAATATATAGTTGAATCGATATAATATCATATTGAAATATGCGTTTTAATTAATATTTTAATTGTATATAGTTCATATTAGTATAATATAATAACGGTTCGTCTCAAACGGTTATTCGTTTGACCATCATAAATAATTTAAAATATTGCAATATTAAAGCCGTACCAGTTCGCAGATGTTTGGACCGAACGCTGAACGATAGGTATTATAATACGCATCCAAATCAATTTATATACCTAATAAGAGGGCCCTATATAGCTGCAGTGGCGACCGGGGAGGGTAGGTAAGTACTTACTCTGATAAGAAACGTCTGTTCGTCTATATACTCCATGTTCTATATGAATCTATCCCACCGTATGTGTATAGCAGGGTGGATCACCCCCTAGGTCGATAGTTGTTATTGTTATTTCAAGGATTATACAATATACTCATGGGGTTCTCCAAATGCGGCGTCGTGTAATCCTAATATTTGTCAACACCGTGTGTGTGTGTATAATATTATTACGTTTCAATGAGACCAATTATAATAATTTATATTCGAGAGACAGCTAGTCGTCGGGTTCGTTTTTAATTAGACCTATTGAAATATCGTCGGTCGATCGGACACGTTGCTTGTGTGTAGGTGTTTTAAGAGTATATATTTTAATCAAAAAACCATGCAAGTGCGTATAATATAGCAATTAAGGAGGTTATACTGAAGCCCCACCACCTTACAATTCCGAATGTATAGACCTCTTTTAGGTCTTGGGTTAGTTTGAAAACGGTATAACGAAAATGTGGAAATGTAATAAACATGAATATTTCTTACTTTTGAATAGCCTGTAGGTTAAGATAAAGTCTATCGATTAACAACTAATAATTGTTTATTATAATATATAAATATACGCATAATATACGCGCCTATACAAATATTAACTATCTTATATTATATCTTTAATGTATTAAACGTGAGTGTGGACGTTTAAATGATTTCGATATCTAGTAATACATTAAAAAAAAGGTAGAAATGTAAAGAGTATTATTTCAAACTTTGATGTGATACAGCCATACAGGCACCTGTTAACCCCTTTTAATTTAAAAACCTCGAAATTATACTCCCTTAATTATTATAATATATGCTTTCAGGATTTCGGAACAAATGCTTGTTAATCAACTTGAGTCTTTAAAACAACTTACTAGGTAATTCAACTTTGTCCCGGTGTGGCTCATCGCATTATGATAATAAGAACATATGATACCTATTAATATGCATACGAATAATAAAGTCTCTTGCACTGGTGTAAGATAAAGTTTAAATTATTTTCTATCTTCAAAATCTGGATTTATACAAATTATTTGTAGAACATTATCTTAAATGTAAAAATAAATTAATTTCAAGTTAGATTTTTTGCAAAATTTTCATATGAATCGAGGTGTGACATTTGCGCTTGTCGAGCGTTTTTCAAGATCGAATCGCCCAATAAAATAAAATTGTGTGGCACATCGATTTGTATGAGAACACTACAAGATAAACAGTGGTGTTATTTATTTGTTGTCATTTAACATATAATTAATTAACGTATTATTTTACATTGTCAATCAATAAAAATGATAAAATAATAACAAAATTAGGGTTAACAAAGTTTTAAATTATCAAATTAAATGAATTAATTTTGTTATTATTTTATCATTTGTAATTGATAGTCTATGATTACACCACTGAAACTCCGCTATGTCGAGTTCGTGCAGAACATATTATTATGGAATGGTCTAGTAGAACGTTTTTGAAACTGTGTTCCACGAAACCCTGGGGTTTCGAATAGATCACTTTAGGGTTCCTTGAAACTCTCATTAAAATTTAAAATTAGAAGTCCTGTTTGTCTGTTATCTTTTCTTAGTACTACTCTAAAAATGACCATTGTAGGGGTTCACTTAAAAGTTGACATAAGAAACATAGGTCTAGTGCATTCCACTATTTCCACTTAATCAGGCTATCAGTGTTCGTATTTGTTTGGAAAAACAACATTCGTATTTTCTTTATATTTTTTATTTTAAGTACATACTATGAAAGTATAAGTACGTAAGTCTGAAATTAGTATTTTTAATTTATCAAATGAACAATAATAATTTATATTTTTAGATGTTCTAATTAATAATTATTATAGTATAATTAAATATTTATGATACTATTATTTTTGTAATAAATGTATTATTGTATTAGTGGACGTTGGTGGTGATAGTAGGATGATAATTATTAATTAATTGAGCCCATACTCAATGAATATTTGTTAAATATAAATTAAAAATTGAAATTTATTTTCGATCTAATTAATAATAATCAATGTGCAATAATAATCAATAATCATTATTGTTATTCACTAAAAATAATACCTAATTATTATTGGTATTCAATGTAGAATTGATGTTGTTTAAAGTGTAAACCGTACAGCATTTAGAGAGAAAATTTTGGAAACCTTAAAGGGAGGTGTAGGGGGGGGGTGAATTCAATGGCTCATCCCTCCCCTATAACAATTCTTAAATACTCCACTGCTTAAACAGTCATCAAATTGCAAATTATAATATAAATATATACATAAAGCATCAATGCATAAATATAACTTGGCGAATAAGACGTAAATTATTAGTTCTTACTCAGTCCGATGAATCTAAAATTTGATGATTCGACATTATGATATTTGTGCATATAAAACAGCTACATGAGCTGGTACGAGGCAGTCCTGCTGTCGTCGTAGAACTCTGCAGAGGGAGCGTAGTTTCGATGGTTAAACTCGGGTAAGAGACAACTGTAGTAAGGGCTAAGTGTTTTATTTTATGATTGTTTTAGGTATGTTTGCATCAATAAAAGTGTTTCTGACCGAAAATTGTGTTTAAGTTTTATTTCAGGCTATTGAATAACACTTTTAAAAAAGGTATCAAAACACTCTGTAGTACTTACTTTCTCTTCCAGTACTCGTTTTCGTGGTTAGTCGAGAAAGAGCAAGACTGCCCAGTTTAAAGAGATCTCACCCTCGAACGGACACATACTAGTTGCGGACGAATTATTCAGGTTAGGAATTATAATATAACAATTGCGGACATGAGTTTCGTTGTCATAATACTAATTGCGTACAGAGCTTTTTTTTAATGAAAACTACGTTAGTTGTAGACA